CCCAATTCCTATTTAATTACATATCTAACACCAAAATTTAATTTTTTTTCATTAAAAGCATCCAATCTTACATATCAGAGTAGAAAAATATTTCCTTTTTATGCATGATAACCTATATATATGTAAATATTTTGGAATTTAGTGGTATGTATGTAAAAATTTCATTTTTTTTTTTAATTTATGTGTTGAGGAGGACAAAATCTGTACGGGTTGGGGATTCGCCGACGCCGGCGGCTACTGAGGGAGCAGCGCTATATATAAGGAACGAATTGGGAAAAAAAAATCCGTCTTGGGCCCTCCTCTCAAGCCTTTAAGCCTCGTTTTCATACTTTCTAAATATATCCATTGGGGTATCTGGCTGTTCTTCTTCTCCGCCTTTCCTTTTTCTGTGATCTTGTTATCTTCGGCTGTATTTCTTGGACTAATTTCATCCCCGGCTGTGAGGAACACGTTAAAGGTTAGATTTTTAATCCTTTTTCTATGGGGTTTTTAGCTTTTTTTGGTTTATTTCCATGAATAAGGCGGAGACTTGATGTGCTATTCGTAAATGATGGCCGTCAATGATGGCAACAATAATGATTTATTTTCTATGTTAATTGAATAAGATATTTTTTTGGCTTCCTGATTTGTATTCTCTTTTCTGGGTTTTGCGCTTGGCCTGTTAAAGCTGCTTCGCCCTTGAAGGATTGAATTGATTTCTCTGTGAAAGAAGGGCTTAAGAGGTATCGCGGCTGGCGACTTTCTGTGCTGAGGGCTTAAGAGGTATCGCGGCTGGCGACTTTCTGTTCTGAGATTTTGTTTTTTAGTCTTTTCTTCTTTGTTCTTGTGCTAAATAATGACCTCTTCTGTGGGAAAAGGTGCGGTTTTTTAGTCTGTTGGGGGCAATGGAGAACGAGAGCTGTTCATGGGTGAGGAGGGCAAAGTTCGCACCAAACACTTACATCCGTTCCGGTTCTTTTAAATTCCCATCCATCGGATGGGATGAACAATCTTACAGAATCCTAGATCTGAAGAAAGAAATTATGAGCTCCGAATCAGTGCCAATGGAGTCTGTTTCAGGCTCCACGAATGCAGCTTTTTTGCCTGGTGGTTCTGCTAGAAAAACAGATGGGAAATCAGGGAGAAAGATGGAGGATTTCAGTCTTGTTTCTTCAGATTCAGTTTCTACCAAATCCTCGCTGCAACATGGTGGCAGTGAGTCTTCTTCATCATCGATAAAGGAGTAAAATTTACAACCCGTTGAGTTCTCCTTCCATACCAATTTAACCACAACATCAGAAACAATGAAATTGTATTCTTATGCAGTCTGGCTTGCTTACAGTAAGAAGAAATTCGATCAAATGAAACGAAAATCCAAACCCAAGCAGAGATGTGTATCCCCACTACCAACCACCACTCTTTCTGATGTCTTTAAAGAGGCTAAATCCAATTCCAAGAGGTTCTCCACACCACCCCCTTACAGAAATAAACCACACAAGAATATCTTAGGAAAGACCAGCACTTGTAATGAATTGAACCCTCTCCAAAAATTTCGTTTTGTGAAGGGCATTACCAAGTTGAGGGCAAAGAAGGAGACACCATGGACGAGGTGTTTAGATAATGGGGGAGTTAAGGTGACAGCAGTAGAGACCACAAAGAGCTGGATTGTAAATCTTTCCGAGCTGTACTTCGGAGCTCGATTCGCCAGTGGAGCTCATAGTAGACTTTATCATGGCATGTATAAGAATCAGCCCGTTGCTGTTAAGATTATTCGATTGCCCGACGACGATGAAAGCGGATTGATGGTGGCGCGCTTGCAAAAGCAATTCACGAGAGAGGCGACCTTTCTATCTCATCTTCGCCACCCCAATGTGATTAAGGTAGTATGGGAACTATGCTTATTACAGCTTTTCCTTCTTCAATATGCTTGAGATGAACAATTGTGAAACATTTCTTCTAGTACTTGACTATGATTAATGTTACTCTCTGATGGCTTTGATGATCTGTTTAAAGCTGAGTCATATTAATATGAAGGAAGATTGACATACACACCACTCAATTCGCATGTATTCACATATATACTGACAACTAAACTTTAATTTTTACATATATGTCAACTTAGCTATACATGAAAAGATGTGTTTCTTTTTTCAAAAGTTAAAATAGTGATATTTTGTATGTGATATGAAAGATTTGAGTGGTATAAAGATAAAAAGTTTAAAGTTTTGATGCTAGTTATGTAAATAGATAAGAGTTGGGTGGAATGTATGAAAATGCCCCTACTTTGAATTAAATGTATAGAGAAAATACTTGGTTTCTTCTCATAATCTCTCTTTACCTTCAGCTTGCAGGGGCCTGCAACAAATCTCCCATCCTCTTCATCATCACTGAATATCTTTCCGGAGGGTCTTTGAGGACATTGTTGCGCAAACTCGATTGCTCGCCCCTTCCTCTAGATAATATGATTTCGATTGCGCTAGATGTAGCCCGCGGCATGGAGTACATTCATTCACAAGGAGTTATTCATCGTGATCTGAAGTCTGGGAATATATTATTTGATGCAAACTTCTGTGTAAAAATTGCTGATTTTGGAGTGGCATGTGAAGAAGCACATTGTGCTGTTTTTAGTGATGACGCCGGCACGTATCGGTGGATGGCTCCCGAAATGATCAAGCACAAGCCATATGGCCGAAAAGTCGATGTGTACAGCTTCGGGCTGCTCTTATGGGAGATGCTTACTGGAGCCATCCCCTATGAGGAAATGACTCCGGTTCAAGCAGCTTTTGCTGTTGTTAATAAGGTATTCTACATGTAAAGTTAGCATTTTTATTGTTTGTTGTTTGGCCTATTGTTGAGATATGAAGTTTTACTGAGATTAAAATGGTGCAAAATGTCTAAAGGTTTGATATTTTTTTCAGAATTTGAGACCGGTTATTCCGGCCGACTGTCCGGTGGTTCTGCGAGGGCTGATCGAGCGGTGTTGGTCAACGCTTCCAGAGAGGAGGCCGGAGTTTGCGCAGATTGTGAAGGTTTTAGAACAGTTTAAAGCTGATCTAGCTAATGGTGGGACACTTAAAGAGCTTCAGCTTTTGACTTCTCAGGATCATAAAAAACGGCTACTGATTTGGATTGAAATGCTGAGTTTTTCAAAAGTTGGTGGCTTTAGGCCTCCAACGGCTAAAAAATTGTAAATTTCTGTAGTTTTCGTTGATTTGATTGTAGTTATGATAGCTTCTAACCTGCAACTGTATGTAGTTGCCTCTACTGAATATACTGCTGCTCTATCTCAAGAAATATGGAGTCGGCTTCCCAATGTTCAGTGAATTTTTCTGTTTCTTAATCAAAGTATATATAAATCTGGCAGTTTAGGTGTTAGATCTGTAAATATATAAGAATGTTGTGGTATGTACGTAAATATCCTTTTTGTTTTTCTTAACAAGTTGATGTGGTTGTATATGATTTGTGCTTTTGAAAAAGTTGCAATAAATAATCAAATTCTAACATAATTGACTCTGAAGAACTACTCAACATAGAAGACTTTGAAAAATAGTATGAAATGTCTCTTTTATAAATTTATATTAAGGAAGACTTGCATACCTACCGCTCTACTCATATGTTCTTACATATCTAACAACCTAAACTTCAATCTTTACATACATACCCCTTTCTTATGCATGGAAAGGTGTATTTCACTCTGTAAGAGTTAAAATAATGATATTTTTTAATGTGATATGTAAATGCATGGGAATTGAAGGGTATTTATGTAAAGTCGTAGTCAAATACGTGTAACCATGGTTTATGAAGAATAAATAAAAAATGCAATAATAATTGTAGTTGGAGACTAAGTCAAGTTGGTCCGAGGAGCTCATCTAATTTCAAAGCTAAGTTGCTGATAATAGACTGCGGTGCTGTGGCGGTGCGGTGTGGCACTGCACCGCAGTTGTCAGTTTGGGTAAACTGTGATTTGACAGCTTTTTAAAAAAACTGTCACTGACATCTGTATTTTTTCACCACTCCTGACTAGGTGCGGCGACAGCTTTCTAGCTGTGGTATGATTTTTAGAATCTTTTTTCTTTTTTGAAATAGACACAACATATTTTTGAGTATCAGATTATTATTAATCAGCAGCTTCACAATTAATTTTAATAAGCTGCAGCTGTACCGAACAATCGCTTAGAGTGCTTTGGTGGGCTCTAGCTAGGCAAGCTTTTTTTTTCTTAGTAGTATTTGTTTAAATATTATATAAACCCCCCTAGTCTTTATAAAATAGCATTGAGAGTAGTGTAGGAAATGCTTAATTAATAGTATTTTATTAATATGCTAATTTGATGGAGAAAGTTATGGAGCACCAATATTGAAGAGGTTTATGACGAGGATTTATTTGATTTATTTATTATTTTTTTATTTGAAAGTTTAGGGTAATTTTATCATGTAGCTTGATATATAGTTTGGAATTAAAATAAAAAAAAAGTAAATTTATTTTTATTTATAAAATTACTAAAAAATAATTAGTTTTATTTTAATATCACCAAACAATTTGATTAATTTTAATCCTAAAGTTGGATCTCATAGCACAAAGATATTTGAACTAACAACTTCAAAAATTAATTTTAAGATCATCCTAATTTTATTTTTAGCAATTTAAATCTAAATGATCTTTTTTGAGAGATGAGTTCTACTAGTTCAAGAGTATTCAATTATGAGATCACTAAGATAGATAGATATTCAAATAATATTATATGATTAGAGAAAACTAACCCCCGGATCATTAGACGATATCCTAATTTAAGGATGAAAAGATTATAATGTCTCCTTCAAAATTTTAATAATATGATATGTTTTAAACATCAAGGATGCCCTAGAAGGCCTCAAAAGGATCTTAGATTCAAGCTTTATGAGATTCAGTGAGTTCCCAAAGCTCCATTGCTAGCACAAAAGGTCTGGTGTTGCTATTAACCATTTCTAGCACCAACCGTCGACCATCATCGTTAATAATGATAAAGCTCATTATTGCTACACTTTTCATGCATGTCCTTGCCTATATTGACATCCATCATCTTTAACAAATTCAACGCCTGCAATCGCTATTAGAGATGATGCTCACTATCAACACTAATCGTAATGCGTCGCGGCCTATCATCCATAAATGTATATATCTTTTGTAATGAAATTAAGTCGTTTGGTTGTCTTTTGTACCTTTCGGTTTTTAACTCTGCTGTACCTTTGTGAGGGTTTTGCACCGTAGTATATTTGTTGAGTGATTGATGCTCAGTAAAGTTCTTGTCGTTCTAATGCTTTGACTGGCTCAAGTCTTACTTTGCCAACCTCATTTTGTTTTTTCTCAGATTCATCCCTTGGGTCGATTTTCTCCCTCGCTAGGACTTTAGGTGAATCTCATTGTCGTCGTAACAAAAGTCACCACCTGGACTTTATTTTGGGGCAATTTACGTTGTACCATTTGCGGAGCTTGTCGCTACTAGGCATGAAACTCCCTCTAGGGCAATTTTTTAGTCGAGTTTTCAGTGTGAGTCGAATGCGGGACCAACAACACACTCTTAGGTACCACTGTTGGTAGTTTTTATGCTTTTGACTGGCCAGACAAACTTGGTACCGTGGCCAACCGTTTTAATGTTTAGGCTCAGTTGGCCAATCTTAGAGCTGCGACTAGCCATCTTCATATTTGGGCTAAGCTGGGTGATTTTAGCGTCGTGGCTATTTGTCTTCATGTTTTGGCTCAAACGGGCAATCGAACGATCTTGTCGTTTTAATGTTTAGGCTCAAGCGGGTTTGAGTGTCTTAACAATGTCAGAGTTGAGCGATCTTGGGCTCGTTTGATTCCTCCTGCCGAGAGGCTCTATTCAACCATAAACTCACCAAATTTGACATTCGTTTAACTTTTCAAATATCCCCAAAAAACTCTCAAAAGCAGTTTAATGGCTTGATCGGGGTTTGATTTGGTTCAAATTAAACCGAATTTGGTATCATCGAGTCTGTCTCATTGAAGCAGTCAGTTGACTATAAGTATGTTGAAATCGAAGTTTTTGATGACTTCTACTTGAAGTTTGAATGTTTCTCGATAAAAAATTTGACTCGATATTTGTGGTATACCTCGAGATTTGCATCATTTAATGAAATTTTGGTGGAGGTGTATCAATAATAAGTTAATGAATATGATTATTTTGCAATATTGTAGATG